TTGAAAAATAATAATATAAAAGGAAAGACAAAGATATGGAGTTAAAATTAGTACAGGTCCGAGACCTACTTGATTGGACTCGCCTTGAGTCAGGCAACTAAAAATTCATCGGGTGAAGGGAGGTCGTGAACATTTGCATTGTCGTAAGTGGAGAAATGTTGGAAATACACAATTATGTCTTACTGTGAAGTTCAAAAGTTACAGCAACTTTATTTTAATGTACATAAGTTTCAAATCATCTCTTTGAAGAAGAAACGACCCTCAGATCTGGTGTTCTTTAACATGCACGGCCATGCAGAACGGCATAGCAGAGCATATATATATATATATATATATATATATATATATATATATATATATACTCCACTCTCCTGTCGAAGTCAATGTATGAGGGTCAAACAGATCAGTTTTAGGAAACCGACAGTCCGACAACGACGCATGACATTTGATTATAGTGGTGAAAGTTTCGTGCAGGACCGTCCACACTTTTTGAAGGGCCGAATATAGAGACCTGGTGCACTACGTGCCGCAAGGTCCCTAAACGACACTCCGCAGGTTTTGAATTCAGAGTTGTCCTTCTCCTAGACCAGTTGCCATCCAAGAACCCACTCTGTTTTAGGATTTACCCATTGCTGGAGGGAGAAGAAGAGGATTCACATCTTTCCTATGGGTATTAGCACGTAAATGAAAGTAATGGACGACTGGAATTCGAACTCGGCTCTCCGATTTCTCAATCCAAGCCGCTATCCATTGCTACATCATGCCTTTTATATATATATATATATATATATATATATATATATATATATATATATATATATATATATATATATATATATATATATATATATATATATATATATATATATATATATATATATATATATAAAAGAGTCAGGTTCAACGAGCTGTCAGAGCCATGAAAGAGCGTTGGTGGTCTGAAAAAAAACTGAACTCCAAGAAGCTTCAGATAGAAAGGATCTAAATGCTTTCTATGCTGGCCTCAAGAGCATTTTTGGTCCTAAGAAAAGTGGTGTCGCTCCTATCTCCACAGCAGATGGTAAAACTCTCTTGATGGATAGGTCATACATTTTTAAATCGCTAGAAAGAGCTTTTCGAAACTGTGTTAAACACCACTTTGGTTACTGATGAGGAAGCCATCACATCAATTGAGCAAAATCCTGAAATTCCGGAATTGTCTTTTGAACCTACTTATCAAGAGGTAATTGACTCCATGAAGCAAATCTCATCTGGAAAATCACCTAGTCCTATGGATCCTATTCCACCCGAATGGCACCAAGCAAGGTTGTGTCATGGCTCCTGTCCCTTTTGCCCTTTTCTTCTCGGTGATGCTGAAATATGCATTTGCAACCACCGAGAGTGGCGTCAAGTTTCAGTTTCGAACAACTGGTGGTCTCTTCAATCATCAGCGCTTCAAAGCCAAGACCCGCCTTCGTACGTATATTATTCGTGATTTGTTGCTTGATGATGATGCTCTCGTAGCGACATCCTTTGAGGAGGCCCAACATCTAATAAATCGTTTCTCTGATGCGTGTAAAGCACTTGGTCTTACACTTAGCATAAAGAAAACTGAAGTTGTACACCAACCTTTTCCTACTCCGAAGCAATTGCGTAGTGAGAAACAAAAAACACCAGTCTACAAATTTCCAGAGACCATTGAAAGTAGAACAAAAAGCCCTGAACTATGTAAAGTCTTTCACCTATCTTGGTTACAAAGTCAATTACAGTGGAACTTTAGATGATGAAATCATGCATCGGATTGCTAAGGCTACCAGTGCTTTCGGCAAACTTCGCCATCGCTTGTGGAATGAGCGGCGTATTCGACTGGATACGAAAATTCGGGTTTACAGAGCTGTTGTACTTGTCATCCTTTTGTATGGCTGAGAGTCGTGGACTCCATGCAGGTACCATATAAGCCTGCTAGATGTTTTACATAAAGGCTAGATAGCTTATGCGTGCAATCTGTGGAGTTAAGCTTCAAGATAGGACATCTAACGTAGACCTGTTTAACAGGTGTAATATTGGAGGAATCGAGACTTTCCTCAAAAAGTCTCAGTTACGGTGGACAGGTCATGTCTTGAGAATGTCTGATGACAGGATACCTAAGATCGTAATATACAGCCAGTAAGATCAGGGCTACAGGAATGTAGGACGCACATGGCTAAGATACAAAGACAAGCTGAAAAGCAACTTGTCAGCAGTCAATATACTACATAACACCCTTGAGCGCTTAGCCTTGGAGCAGGTAGAATGGAGACCAACATGTTTTAGTGGACTCAGCAATTTTCAATCTGCTTGTCTGAATCATCTTCAAGAGCAAGATCTAAAAGGTCAGCAATCTAACAGTGATCTCATCTCACAATTCTCACACTTGCTCCATATGTGGTCTTTGTAAATCACTTGCGGGTCTTAAATGCCACTTAAAATTATCGCACAGACATTCATAACTGAATCAGTAAGCTCTCAGACCCTCATACGTCGAAACCGACGGGAGAGTTCATTATATATATATATATATATATATATATATATATATATATATATCATAAAAACAGAATGCAAATGTTACTTAAAGAGTCTTATATAGGGTGTTAATAAAACCAATACAATGCAAAATGAACAAATGTCAGCCGAACGCCTATACCTCGATATTAAATATTTTCGACAATACTAGAAGAATAAAAAAAAAAATTATACTACGTCGAAAATGATCTTACTGACAAAAAGATAAGCTTTATATGGTGCAACAAGATATTTCTAAAATGTAAGAAGAGGAAAATTTCAAATTTCAAAGTGTAGCAAGATTGTAGAGTCAAAGGTTTGAAAGGTTAAAATTAACCGTTAATTCAAATCTTTGATTTAGTAAATCATCACTTTTTATCACTTTTATTATTATTTATTAAATATTTATTAAAATATTGACAAAATTCTTCGGCAACAAATTTCTTATGGTTCTCTGTGCAAATTGTTTTGGCTCGACCGGTTTTTAGGGCTTTAAGAATTGAGCCAATGGCATCAAATTTTCCATGGATGCGGTAAATTTTTTTATCACTTTGGGTTTTGAGTACCAAATTTTTCATCCCATTTTGTTCTTATGGTTTTAGCATTTGGAGAATTCCAATATTCTTTTAACAGCCATTTTCTTTTTTCAGTACTTAAATCATTTGCCATTATGGGTTCTTTGAACTATCTGAAAAGAAAACAAAAGATTAAATAAATTTAGTTATAAGATATAATATAACAGAAACACAATAATTATAATATAATATAACGAAAAAACAAAAACCCTATTCAAAATACTTTCCACTTTATTTATATGGTTCTTTATAGTCAGCCTATGAACTTTTCAGCTCATCCTCGTAATAAATGTCGAAGTTAATAAAGAAAGTAGTATTCTTCATTGTAGTTATGTTGCTTAAAATCTCAGCTACTCAGTAGTAAGTGTTAAGGCTGAAAACAAAATCTCTTTTGTTTATGTTAAGACTGATTTTCTACCACTGAGATTGGTAACACGAGATTGTTTATCAGAAATAAAAAAAGAAAACCGATCCAACAAATTCGAACATGAAAACAAAAATGGCAAAAGAAGGAATCCACATGAGTCGAAAGGTTCACTAATAGTAAATTGGGCGTGGATAGACGTAAAATATAAACAGAACGTTCAAAAAGAGAGAAAATGAGAAATGGGCAAAAAAGGCGGGGAAATTGCTATACGTGATAAATGGTTTTACTTTTTCTCTCTGTAGATTAGAGTCGGCGAGAAGCAATTATTTCAGCTTATGATCTCAAGTGCCTCTGTTAATGCAAGAAACGATTTTCTTTTTTTCTTCATTTCTTTCTGGTCTTTTTTTTTTGCTATCCAAGGTTCAGTTTGTGTACTGTAGTCATTCTTATTTAATCCAATCTAATTGCCAATCCGATGGTTCGGAGGAGAAGGATGACTTATCTTGCAGATTCTACATATAATTTCATTCTCATCTATCTGTGCAACTCTCTCAGTCAGTCAGTGTCAATCTTTCTCTTCCACCAATATATATATATATATATATATATATATATACATACACACACACACACACACATATATATATATATATATATATATATATATATATATATATATATAGATAGATAGATAGATAGATAGATATTATTAGTGGTAAATATACACATGCATATGCAAAATATATAAATATATATACATAGGTGCATACACATACATATATATTTTTAGAATAAAAAATTCCAAGAGGATAGAATCCAGGTAGAACTCAATGTCCAGGACAGAGTAAGGATATAATAAAAAGGCTTAAACACTAATAATTCATGGTCATAATTTATTCCATTGGAATCGTAAATACGATCCAATTCATCAGACCTACAAATTCAAAAAGAAAACAGAAAAAAAAAAACCGGAAATAAAAAATAGATTTTAGAGAGTGTGTATGTATGAGAGTGTGGGATGAATGTTAGAGCTAAAGAGAGGGGTAACAGACGAGAGAAGGTGGGAGATTAAACCTTAACAGAGAGAAGTTTTAGAGAGGTGAGTTGAAGAGGTTTAAGTGAGAGAAATATGAATGTTGTCGGATGTCTAATACATTAAAGATGTAACTGGAAAGGATACATTTTATGGTGACATACACACACAATATAGACGATCTAATCCTAAAGATCAGAAGAAGAGGGAGGGAGAGGACAATAAAAGAAAAAGGGGTGGTGGAGAGAGATGGGGCGGGGGGAAACTAAAACTGATAGTCATTTATTAAAAGGGCCGCTGTGTAATTAAGAAAATTTGACAAAATTAATATCGACTATAGGTTACAAATCAAATATAAACATATAAAAAATAAATATAACGATTATCTAATCTAGCAAATATATATTATCTTAGCTTGATTTTATAGAAAGTAGCAAACACCTGGTTTCCATATACATACATACATACATAAACATATATATATATATATATATATATATAT